TCCTTGGCTGGTCCTTGGCTGGCCCTCGGCTGGTCTTTGGCTGGCCCTCGGCTGGTCTTTGGCTGGCCCTCGGCTGGGCTTTGGCGCGTATGGTAGGGCTGGTGCCCTACAATACCTTTTCTGTCATGATTTGTGGACATTCTAAAGAGAAGCGCCATCTCCTGGTCAGACCCTGTAATTCAGTGAAAGGGTGGAGTCAGAGTAAAAAAATATGCAAGAGGGGGGTCAGTCAGTGGCAGGAAGTAGGCTGCCATTCGGCTGGCAATTGACTGGGAAGGGCCACTTTGAAAGGCTGCTACTTTAAACTAATTAAGGGCAGCTTCTGTTCTATATAATATAACTGACAGACTGAATAATCCAAAATATAACTGAATATTTCACAAATGGCACCCCATAGGGGGCATTTGGTTAAACACATCTGGATCACAGTGGGAGCCAAAAAGGCGACTTTTATTTTTTTTTTTGATTGGTGCGTTTATTGATCTGTAAAAAATTAGGCAGCAATCACTGACTCATTTGGTGAGTTTAAATCAGCTCCTATGATAATGTATCAGTGGAAATAATATAATTGTTTTTCATCTATTTAGTTTAATTAACTCATATTCAGACTCAGAGTTTTTGTGCCTCATAGCAGAAGTTGCCATCCTGACCCCAGTCCTTTATCTCCTGCTTCATATCAGGATTTATTTTCCTTTGATTCATTAAGGTGAAGCTGGAAAATGTCTCTAATGGTTCCAGTGATTTTTATTTCTTTTTATTGTATTTTCTTTCATCCTTTAGGTTATCAGACGTGTCTCCGGTGGTGCAGGAGGCCCTGAAGATGTCGGCCTCAGTCCAATATTTAAACACTCTGATGGAGGAGCTGGGCCTACAGGAGCAGGACCTTCTGAGTCTAGTTCAGCTCTTTAAACCCACTAAACTGACTCAAAGTGAACATAAACAGATGTAGGATATATATTTTCAATCTTATAAAAGATGCTGAGAATGAAACAAAATGAGTTTGTGTTTTGTGTAAAATCATCAACCTGTGAAGAGGAATAAACTAAGCTATTGCCCTCTGCAGCACTGCTCAGCGACACAGATGAGAGAGAAAATGCAACAGATTCTTTAAAATTTATAACTGCACTATCTGATAATGATCTGCTAAAGTGAAGCCTCCTTTTGGAGGATTAGAACTCTGTTAAAGAAATCCTGAATATTATTAAAAAGTGGTCAGAGGACAGGTTGTCCATCATATGCACAGGAAGCACCACCCCCGTCTGCCAATCCAGTGGCTCTGACCCTGACTTCCGTGCAACGTTGAACCACGATAGTCCGACAACATCCAGAGCTCTAAGGTACTCCGGGACTTAGCTTCGGCAACTTCTTTATCTTCATTGCGATTTTATTCTCAAAATGTTAAGACTTTATTCTGTTTAAGTTACATAATGGCCCCATTTCCACTACCCTTTAGGAACCTTGCTGAGATCGGGCCAAGCACGGTAACCGAGGTAACCGTCAGAGATGGGAAGTAAC